AAGGAAGGAAGGAAGGAAGGAAGGAAGGAAGGAAGGAAGGAAGGAAGGAAGGAAGGAAGGGGTTATTTCAGCCCAAGGTTCCAGGATATGGCACATTATGACAGCTGGTGGCATTGGGGCCACAGATAGGAGATGAACATTGCTGCTCACTGGAGTTCTCCTTTGTGTTCAGTGCAGAACCTCAGCCCAGCGAACAGTGTGCTAGGGTGTGTCTTACCACCTCAGTTACTCTGACCAGGACAATCCCTATAAACCCAGAGGTGTGTCCCTCTGGTGGCTCTAGATCCTGTGAGAGGTCTGAGGTCAGTCAGGGTTAACCATCTCACTGAGTGGGCACACTAGGACTGCCCTCCTGGGCTCCCCAGGGAGGACTTACTCAAAGAGTGACAAGGCTCCTACAGCTGAGCTAAGAGGTTGGCTCCTCTTGAGGGTGACGTTTGATAAACCTAGATGGCTGAAAAAGGAGAGATAAAGGCAAAGACACGAGGTGGAGTGAATCTGTGCGACCCCTGACCCTCACTCTCACCTCCTAAACCGTGTCTACCTTAAGGGATTGATCATTGCTATGCCTTTGGGGGCAGGGGTAGATCAGCCAGATGGGGACAAGCAATTCTGCCTTGTTGATGAAAAGTACAGCTTGGCATCTAAGGGAATAGATCATGTAAGGGGAAATAATCCCTCTTTGAGCACATGTTGAAAGTCACTGGGAGGCCAAGATACTGGCTTAGTATATAAGAATTATTGGACACTCCCATCAAACCATGACTTAATATTTTATCTTGAAGTTATTTTGTGGTGGTGGTGGTGGTGTTTCTCTGTTGTGTCTGTTGCCACAGTCTCTATTTTGTTTGTTTGCTTATATAGGAAAAGCAGAGAGCAAGAGCTCAGGGAAAATGAAGTGTCCCAGGGGAGCCTTGGGCTTAATGCCTGTGGTTCTTCCTGAGGAGTTTGTAGCCCTGCCCCTCATCACCCCTTCCCACCTGCAGGTATACCTTAGGCTTGGAAGCACTTGCTTCCAGTTAGTCACTCCGATGCCATAAGCCCTGGTGAAGCCACACAGCAAGGAAAGGGCTTATCACCCTTTGTCTAACCCTGTCCGGGTGTGGCGATGTGGTGACGGCAGATTGCACTCGTGTAAGCAATCCGTAGGTCATACTTTCTCAGCACCATGATTTTGCTCCAAGCCATCTGTCCACCCTGTGTGTGGCGTGGTGGGGGTGGGGAGCTCACAGTGACTTTCATGGAGAAGGTGATCCTGTTTCACAAAGGAGACACTGACAGAGCTGCTCCTTCATCGGTTGCCCAAGTGTGAAGCCTGGGCTTCCTCAGTCACACACCACCACCACCATCGCTGCTTCCTCAGCTGAGGGATCCCTCTCCATGGGGACAGCCAAGTCTTGTCCAACAGAAGCCAACACAGGCTTGCCTGCGGAGGTTTACTAACACAAATACTCAGCCCCCAACACAGGGAGTTTAAGTCACAGTATTCCCTGCCGGTAGGGCAGTCACCTCTCTTTTGTGGGTGAGGACTCTTGAGATATCCCACTGATATCTCACCTCAGACTTTCCTCTCTGACCCCTGCTGGGTTGACTTTCAGCAGTACTTCTAGGGGGGCTAACGAGTCACACTTCTTACATGACACCCTGCCTACCGCTAAGAAGGCCATCCTTCTGCAACAGAGCAGGAGTCTAGAACCCACCAGATGGCTTCTCTCTCTTGGATGACCACATAAGCAACCCTCCCCATCCTTCTCTCCCTTTCTCTTCCCCATCTCCCTCCATGTCTCCCACCTCCTATATTTCTCTCCCTCCATGTCTTCTACCTCCTATCTCTTTCTCCCTCCCTTCTGATCATTTTTCTGTAAACAGTCACAAGACAGAGGCGCTTCCTGCAAGTCATTTATCTGAGCGCTCTAATTCTGTTCTTGTGACACTCACCTGAATGTCCTTGATGTCTCCATACTCTCTCACAGCTAAGGAGAACCCTCTAAGTCAGGAATAAACTGCACATCACAAGATTTACAGCAGTACAGCTGAGGGTACAGGACTCACACCGGGGAATAAGTGCCTATGTGCACGAAGTCCCTGAGCTTCACTGACAAGAGAATTGGGCAAGAAAATGTCACTCTCTGTGACCCTGAATGACCCTGAGCACTGCAGCCATGCACTGCCGTTCCCACTTGGAATCCAGCACAAATGCTGCATATCTGCCAATTAAGAAAAGGCCTGCCAATAAGATCCAGGGTAAAACGAGGCCATTCCACTGCAATTCCACGATAGGTTTCCAAAATTCCTTCCCAGCGCCAGCCAAGGAGGCCTTTCTTTGCCTGCTGGGGGTCAGCTACACCGATCCCAGAGATTTTCGGAGGACTGTGGGGCTCTGCAGGCAGGTGCCCACACGGACTCACCCGGCCCACTCTGTCCTCCTCGGCAGGTACCCTGGCTAAAGCAGAGCCGGAGCCCTCTGCCCTCCCATGCCCGCAGCCGTCCTGGGCTGTGCCACCTGTACAAGGTAAGCTGCGGCCGCTGTCTCACCAGCCAAGGGTCACCTGTGTGTGAGCATGCTCTCAGCTCTGTGGACAGGTCTAGAGAGGGTCGCATGAATTAGGACGAGCAGCTCCTTCGGGGGTGCTCACGGTGCCCCAGGGGGCCAACAGGCCTTCGGGGCATCTGTGAGTGCAAAGATAGGAAACAGGCTCTGAAGGAACAGGAACGCAACAAAGAAGTTTCAAAACAAGAGACCATGCAGGAGGTAGAGAGGTTGTCTTTGAGTCTGTGATGTTGAAGTCTCAAGTGACACGATGTAGCTCTCAGGTCATCAGATGGGGAAAATCTGTGAACCTGTGGTGTGGCCCTGTAATGCCGCTCAGGCTGGACAGCCACCAAGAGGACTGGCCTAGAAAGGGCAGCCCGGGTCAGGTCACTGCCTACCTGCTCTGAAAGCAAACTCCTATCAGACACGAAGCCCCCCGAGCATCAGCCGAGTTAAACTCAATGGCCAGTGTCCTTAAGTTCAGTGACAAGGTATCGCCCCCTGAGCGTGTCACAGATAGCATGGCTGGGATCTTCCCTCCCTTCCCAGTGTGGAAACCACCACGTTAACACCCTGGATAAAGCCGGGGAAGGCAATGACAAGGGGGCAGCCTTCGGCCACACTGAGCTCAGGCACTGCTTGTCATGGCCACTGAGTGTCACTGCACAGATCCTGCCTATCCGTGACTGTTTCACACAGACGCATGTGCATCTGAACCATGTGTCGCCTGTCCTCAAAGAGAAGGTTGGAAACAGATGCTCAGAGACCTAAAAACTAGAACATTCTCCCCCTGTGCTACGCCGAGCACCTATCTGGAGGGAGGATGCCAGGGATCATACAACCGCACAATTCTTCTGCAAGCTATTAAGAGTAAGCCAGTGAGTCCTCCCACAGCCGTCGAGGCAGGTAGCAGGAGGGGACCCCTAGCCCACAGGCTCTGGACTCCCTGGGATGGACACTTCAAAATGAGTCTGCGTGAAAGCTTGCACAGGAACTCTGCTTGAGGTAGGTGCCCTGGGGAGCAACCAGCAGGGGTCTAAGGGGGTCACTGTCCCGTGCCATGCCATAGAGAAGTGAAGACTGAGGAGCATTCCCACTGGCCTCTAAGATGGCCAGCCAGGGGCCAGGGCTGAGAAGCCAGTCCTGGGAGCCCTGAGGGAGTTGTGGTGATGCCTCTTGAGTGGCAGGAGTGCCTGGAAGCCCCCATGCAGGGTACCTGGGGAGGCAGAGCCCTGCTCAATTTTAGCTGTGCCTAGCTTCAAGGGCTACTTCAACTCTGAAAGCACAGCCCTTCCCCTGAGTAGTTTCTGAGGGTTAGCTGGGTCCTGCATCCATTTGGCCTTGCTGAACTGGGAAAGATCATGTGCAACCTGATCTGCCCATCAATCGCCTGGCCCTAGGACAGCCTGCAGCTACTCCGACAGGTGTGAATCCTGTGACAATGACAGGTGCTTCGCCTAAGCGGAATAAGGGGCTCATAGTACTCAGGGCTAGCTGACTGAACCAAGCCATAGGGCACGATGACACCGCCTACCCTGGCCCCTGGCCCCTAGGCTTAAGACACTGCTGCAGAGAGCAGGCCCTGTGCACCGAGAGTAGATTCTGACAGGAACCTCAGTGTTTCCCACAGCCAGGAACTATCAACAGAACATTTGTCCCTTCTCCTTTAAAATTTACTTAGCAGAGAGAAGCCAGCCCCTCCTATTCTCGACATTTTCATCCCAAATGAATACATTTTAAATTCTCTGTGCACATATTTGAAAGCCTGGCCAAACCTCGGGCCAGCTATAAATGACAACCTTGCATAGGCACAGAGTCCCATCTCCTGTGGACATGTGCTTAGGATGCTAAAACGTGCTACAAGTTCCCAGTGTGAAGGTCTTTGCATCTAGAGTTTGTGGGTTCCCGTTATAGTTCCAACAGGGTTTGAACCTACTGGCTTGAACACACACTGAACCAAAGCACAGCAGACAGTGGCTATTAGGTACTATGTGTAATGTTTACTTGTCTACTGTGAGGGAACACAAAGCAACAGAGAACTCTTCCAGGGCCTGTGTTCTGAAGCCACCCAGGCCTCCCTGATCCACCAGGAGAGGCACAGCCATGATGCTGGGGGCTGTCCCCACAGAAGGTAAGCAGAGAGGCGGGTGTCGGCCCTGGCAGCCTGGGAGTTTCCTTGTCACAGTTTCAACCCCGCAGGACTTTCCTAGTGAGTGTCCCGAGTCTTCTCTCTCTTCCTCTCAAAGTGGGCGATGTGTTCCTCTACTGTGGTTGTCTTCGTTACGTTAAGAAAGTGATGATGAATTTCAGGGCATGGAGCATATGACAGAAGCCACAGGGAAAGCACAGCCAGGGATGGCCCCTCTAAGGTTTCAGAAATATGCATGCCATTCCATGATTCAGTGACTGGAAATGAATGGGCTCACCAAGGAGATAAAGCCATTAAGTGCAAGCCACAGCCTGGACAGCAACTTCCAGCATTAGGACAGTGTTTCTCAACTGGTGGGTTTCAGCCCTTTGGGGGAGGGGTGAAAAGATCCTTTCATGGGGCTTGCATATCAGATATCCTGTCTATCGATGTAAATACATTGTGATTCATAACAGTAGCAAAATTACAGCTACGGAATAGCAACGAAAATATTTATGGTTGGGGGTCAACATAACATGAGGAACTAACTATGTTAAATGGACCCAGGATTAGGAAGGCTGAAAACCACTGCATTAGGAGATGGAAACTCTCTCTCCTGCAAGTCAAAAACTCAGAGGAACACTGGGGAGCATGGCTAAGCTGGCAGTCCTGGCTCCAGTGGCGCAGTGCACTTCTTCCTCTCTGTAACCATGGAACATGCTACCTACTGTGCTAAAAAGGGCGTCTCTCTGTCTGTGTCTGTGAAGACAGGTATGCACACTCATTCTTTGGAGCCTGGGGGCAAGTGGGACAGAGCAGGAGACACACAGAACATTTGAGAACAAAAGGGAAGGTTCCAGAGAGGGGAAAGGTGTGGATCTCAGGCTGAGGAGCAGCTCCCCAGAATCACACAGGTGGGTCTCATATGTCCCATCTGGGCAGCCATTTTTCTGCATCGCGGCTGACTAGGCTTGAGCCTGGCATGGACTGGCACCAGGCAGGCAGCATGCTCTGCTGAAGAGGAGTGTGGTGAACAAAGCTAGGCAGGAGCTGAGGAGACGCTGTCCATGAGAACACCCTCTCCATGCGTCTGTGTGGCTCGGCAGGAGCCAGGGCGAGCTCCCTCTGGAGGTTCCTCTCAGCCTCACCTTGCCAGCCTTGCTGGACGCCTCCAGCCATCACCACTGTGAACAGTCAAGATGTTTCCCAAAAGGCTCACTCTGCAGCAGACCCATTGTGCAAACAGACAGCAAGGTCCACAGTCACAAAACCAGGTACATCCTGCAATCCCAGCACTAGGGAAGTGAAGGGGGATTCACAAGTTCAAGACCAGAGAGGTCTGCATAGCATGACTCTGTCTCCAAAGAAAGAAGTATCTCAGTGTTTGGATTCTACTTCTACTGTGACTTCTGTCTGCTACTTATATGAACTATTACACTTTGGTTGGTCACACTGAGGTCTTAAAAACAATGGACGTTGGAAGCAGTGAAGAAATGAGAGAACTAAGAGCAATCCCCATTCTGCCTCCCGCCATGTGTAGAACGAAACAAGGACAAACGCCTCAGGAACTGAAAGATGCCAGCACAAGGTGCCACCGAGCTGCTGACCTACAAAGCTGGGAGGCAGCACTGCCAGGTCTGTCGCTCCTCTTCTGGAGACCTCACACTGCCCAGGAGAGGTCTGGAAGCAGGCAACCGAGCCGGACCCCTTTGAGCCAGGAAAACCCAGGCCTGGAGAGCATCCAGCAGACACCGGAAGTGCTTGGCACTGCCTGGGCTTTCTCTCTTTCTTTCTGGCCAACGCTGAGTTTCAAGTGCACATGTAGGAGATGAGAAATCCAGAGGATTCTGAGTTAACCCCTACAGTACAAGGAAAGGAGTGAAGCTTACAGAGGAGGCCAAGGGATCTTCATCCTTCAAGTCCTGAAGCAACATGAGGGAGCTGGTGCCCCCCAACATTGCAGCAGTGTCAGAGCAGCTTTCCCCTCACAACTGGCTACAGGTCAAACTCCCCCTAAGGAGCCCAGCCCTGGAATGTGGCAAAGCATCATCTGTCTCTACAGCAGATAGCGTTCTGCTCTTCAGTGTCTGAGGGGAAATGCAGCACTGTGCAGCAGGGAGGGAGATCAGGGAGGGGCCAGCCTGAGGTCTCTACCTAGCCACACCTGTCCAGAAAATGAAAAAAGCCGTGTGGGTGCTGCCGGGCCTTCCATGAAGAAAGGCTCTCTCTTTCATAAGTCATCAGCGCCTGTGAAATACATGTTCCAACTCCCAGCCAAGAACCAAAACACAGGAGAGACCGCACATCACTTTAGACCCCAGAATTTAAGAGGCATGGGTTTTTCTAGGAGAGAGGGGAGGGGGGAGAGAAAGAGAGAGATAACATTCTCTCCTGAGATATAGTACAAGTGGTTTGATCACAAACAGTGTCATAGCTTTTTCTGTAAATGTAAACAAGGTTAGACCTGGGGCCAGCCGGTGCCAAGAGGGACACACATGCTGAAATGTCTTGAAGCAGCTGTAGCATCTGGGTGGTCACTGTATGGAGACTCAGAAGTGGAGAAAGATGGCCCCACACACCGGACAGGGCTGCTCCATCACCATCCTGAGACCGTTGTCATAAATGCTGGTTGCCTCTGGCACTCTTCTCAGCCATGACCCTAACATTTAAATGGCTCACAAATAGGTTGGCCCCTACCTCGAGTCACAGTGACTGCCACTGACTTCCAAGTAGGAAACTGGGGTGAAAGAAAGACGCTAGCTAGCCTTGGCCTTCTTCCTCTGGAGACAGCGTTAGCAACTAGAGTTGTTTGAAAGATTTCCAAGGCATGGAGAACAGGAACCAACACAGA